AAGTCATGACGAAGTGAAAGTGAAAACCGCAGAGTCATGTTCAACTCTTTGGGACCCCATAAACTGTAGCCCACAGATATCCTCTGTCCATGGAATTCTCCAGGCAAGAATACTGGAATGGGTTGCCATTTCCTTCTCCAGGGGATCTTCCCAACCCAGGGATCAAACCCAGGTCTCCTACACTGCAGGCAGATTCTTTATTAACTGAGCCACCAGGGAAGCCTACTTTTTGGGGAATTAGGTCCGCTTCCTTTCACCTCAGGGTGAAACTTGCTCTCACTACTCTTCTCAAGTCAGCTGATGGACTGACTTGTTCGGGATCCTGTCTTCACCAATCCTCTCTGATAGCCCTTCCCTGGGCTCAAGGTTCCCTGAAAGTCCTTCTTCTTAGCTCTCAGAGTATATCTTACTGTCTCTTCTCAGTAAATTGGCACTCCTATCCTTTCCCCATGGGTGGTATATCCTGGATTAGTGAGGCACTGGATGTGTCTTAATGGTCTTTGTGTTCTAGGACCTAAGCATAGTGCCTGGTACCCAATAGGGGCTTATGTAGTGCTTGTTATTAAATTAGTTAATAGATGAATTAAAGAATGTGAGTGGATTTTGAATTGCAACAACTGATAGAAAGGTAAATTCTTAGAGATCCTCAGGGATAGGAATCGGTGGTTATACTTGGAAGTTGTATTCAGGAAATGTTTTTATGGATTTCCAAAGGAATCAATTGAGAAGACATACGAAACTACTGAGGAAAGGAAAAGAAAAAAATATATCTAGGGACCGAGGATACCTGATTCATGATGCCCTGCCAGAGAGAAAAATCCTTGTCCTTTTAGCCTAATTTGGCAATTCTATTCTCTGCCACTATTATATCTCCTTTTGTCCTTGGCAGGAGCCCTTGTTGAAAGAGATGGTGATGGTCCTGAGCCCCCTGTTTTTGATCTTCATGCTGGGACTGGGTCTGACCCCACTGACTCTGGCTAAGGATGACCACAGATACAGACACTTCCTGACCCAGCACTATGATCGTAGCCCAAAGGGCCGGGATAACAAATACTGTGAAACGATGATGGAAAGACGAAACCTGACCAAACCCTGCAAAGGCATCAACACCTTTGTTCATGGCAACAAGAATGACATCAAGGACATCTGTAAAGATAAGAATGGGAAACCTTACAAAGGCAATCTCAGAATAAGCAAGTCTGCCTTCCAGGTCACCGTTTGCAAGCATAAAGGAGGGTCCACGCGGCCTCCATGCTATTACAAAGCCACCAAAGCCTACAGAGTCATCGTTATCGGCTGTGAAAAGGGCTGGCCCGTCCACTTTGATGAGTCCTTTGTCCCTCCACGCAAGCAGTCCAGAGCTGGCTCTGCTCTTCCTTCATAGCATTTCCCCCTTACACCGCAGCAACATTCGTCGCTAGAAATCCAGAAAATGAGCTGCTGACCTTGTCTTTTCTGCTTTAGAATATATTTCATTAATAAAAATGTCTCTGAGTCTTCTCATTGATGCTTGGTCTATTTATCTTTCCCCATTTTTCCTGTTCGATTGAAAGGGTTGGATGGGAAAGCAATGCCTTTTTCCTTGTCAGTCAGTTCCTGATCAGGCATTCAAGGAGTGGACTTTACTTTTCTGTTAAGGTAAAAATGTTAAATTCATCTTACAGAGATTTTTGGGAAAATTCCAAGGCTTAAGGCCCCTAAGCAGAATTTTTAGGAGAGGCAAATTGTTTTTGCTGTCACCTAATAAGCCAATATTACTTTTACAAATGTTAAGCCTTAGGAAGAGGAATTTAGTACTAAATACCAACAGATTAATTACACTTTTCTTTCTTTCTCTCTCTCACACAAACATACACACACACACACACACACACACACACACACACACACACACACACGGGCAATCACACCCACCCACACTTTGGTAATCCTGCATAAATAACAAAATACAATCAGGATAGCCCCCTCTTACCTTAAGTACGAAGTAATTTGATATTGTTTTGACTGGAACACTCCCAGGATATTCTCATGGTTATTTTATATAAAGATAAAAGACTGATTACTACATTATTTTCTCTTTAATATTTTACTTTATTAACTGATATCTAGCAACGCTGAGGTCTTGGGAAGGTCGTACAAAGATTTCAAGCTTTTCCTTTGTTCTTCAACTTGATATGTTTTCAAGTAAATACAAGCTTAAGTTAACAGACAGTCTCTGTAAAATATGCTAATTAATCCATGAGTTCAAAGTTACCTAATTTCATCAACAGATGCCTGGATATCTTACTTAGAAAGTAGTTAATAAACTACTGTTATGCATTGCTAGTTCTTCCATTTTATGAATAACTGACACAGTCACTATTCCCCATGGTTGCCTCCCCTGCTGCCTACATGCCCTGAAATGGACCAAAAGCCCTGGTTCCTCAATACTTGGGTTAGAGGCCAGTGTCTTGGTGCCACACAGAGCCCAGCCTCACTGAAAGTATTCAATTTATGGAGGAAGGGATGAAAGAGTAGGTTACTGGTTCATCTGTTTAAAAATTGGAAACATTGTCATTTCTCTCCAAAGTAAGAAGAAGGATTTTCCAAACCTCTTTACTGGAAATTTTGTCTTACTATAAAAATCAAAAAAATCCTTAGGAAGCAAGATATTAACAATGTCTGATAGACTATCTGATTTTTTTTTCTGGTTCTCCAATCAGTGGTGAAAGTGAAGTCGCTCTGTAGTGTCCAACTCTTTACAACCCCATGGACTATAGTCCACCAGGCTCCTCCTCCATCCATGGAATTTTCCAGGCAAGAATACTGGAATGGTTTGTCATTTCCCACTACTGGGAATCATCCCAACCCAAGGATCAAACTCACATCTCTTGGATTGAGCTCAGGTCTCCCACATTACAGGCAGACTCTTTACCCTCTGAGCCACCAGGGAATCCCAATCAGTGGTAGTGCATATTAATTGTTCAGTCACATCTGACTCTTTGCCACCCTATGGATTATTGCTGACCAGGTTCCTCTCTCTATGGGATTTTCCAGGCAAGACTATTGGAAAGTGATAGTCACTCACTCGTGCCCGACTCTGTGACCCCATGGACTTCAGCCCACCAGGTTCCTCTGTCTATGGGATTTTCCAGGCAAGAATACTGGAATGGGTTGCCATTTCCTACTACAGGGGATCATCCCAATCCAGGGATCAAACCCACATCTCTTGCCTCTCCTGCATTGGCGGGAGGATTCTTTACCATTAGTGTCACCTGAGAAGACGGCAATTCAGTGTAGTTGTTATTTTATCAGATTGAAGGGAACAAAGGAAACCAAGAAAAATGGGAACCCTAAAAATGATCATTGCTGACACCTACTGAACACTTAGGCTAGGCATTGTGATAAGCACTTTACATTGATTTTACCATTTCTTCTTCACAATGTTCCTTTGAGGAGAAGGACCCTATGGACCTTGCCCCTACACCATGTCCTCTGCCTGCCTTTTGTCTGTGGAAAAGTTTAGTCAAAGAATAAGTTTAATGAGAGAAACGTGGAAACAAAGGGAAACAGTCAAAGGAGACTAAATAATAATGTAGTCAAGGACCTTTATTTCTTTCTCAAGGGCTATAGATAATATTCTGAGCCATAGCCTGAGAGCTGTCTTACAGATAGTAAAACACCAGGTGGGGAAGTTAATATCATGATGACCAGACTGTTTCAAGGACATGAGCTGCCAGAGTTCCAAGAACTGGCCACAAAGAAATGGGAACAAATGGATGATGGAACTGAAGACTAGCTGTACCTAAAACAATCAACATGTTGCTAGTCAGACCACCGATGACCAAGCTGAAGACGACTGTCAGAGATGACTTTGCCGTTCCTGCATGTAGTCCCCCACCCCAACTTGGGTCTGTAAAATCTCTTGCCCCACTGGTTGTGAGGGTACGGGAAGTCGGCCTTTGGATGGATGTCCACCACCCTCCCCCCACAGTTGCAGGCATCTGAAATAAAGCAAACTTTCCTTTCCACCAACCTGGCCTGCTTATTGCCTCTTAAGCGGTGAGCAGCTGGACTCCCCACAATTCTTTCGGTAACATTGAAATGAAAGTAAAAGTCACTTAGTCATGTCCAACTCTTTGCGACCCCATGGACTATTCAGTCCATGGAATTCTCTAGGCCAGAATACTGGAGTGGGTAGCCTTTCTCCAGGGGATCTTCTCAACCCATGGATTGAATCCAGGTCTTCCGAATTGCAGGCGGATTCTTTACCAGCTGAGTCACAAGGGAGGCCTGGTAGCACTTTCATTATGTTTATTCTACTTCTAAGGAAACACACTGAAAGAAGTTAAGCGATTTCCCCAAGATCATACAGTTAGTGTGGTAAAACTAGGTCTTTCGGATCACCATATCAAAAGAAGTTCTTACTGAGATTAAACACGTCAGCAGAGCAAACCATTGGTGCAAGCTCTAACCTAAAAGTATGTGTTGGGGGCATTTGGGGATCATTTCATTTTCTGTTGTAGGCAGAAGCTTGAGAGGCACCCATTGATGTTGACTTTGAACTCTGTTCCCATTTTTCCATGTCTTACTAAGTCAGTTGGTTACTGTGCCTGAGGCCACACATGCTCTTGTATAAAAAGTAAAATCTTCTCTGTAGCTAGTCATATTGCTAAACCATGTTGTTGGTCACAAAGAAGCAGAATGAGAGAAAGGAGACAGAATTGTGCACAACTAGTTTTGGAACAGACAACACAAAGTACATTGGGGGGGATTAAGCTCTTACCCAAGTGCTAAGTGTGTCTTCAGAAGTTGTATCCAGTGGTCCTGGGGTGAGGAGTAAATCCAGCATCATTTCTTCCTGCCACCCTGCTTCCCACAACTCCTTCACTTCCCTCTCCTCCTAACTCCATATCGCGTATCTGCAGCAGCAGACACAGAAATGTGACTTAGAGTTTTGGGTCTTTCTGTGCACAGGCAAACTGTGGTTGTGAACTGAGAAGGTGGCATTTAAATGAATGATAGCTATGTTTAATCTTGATCATTATTGTTAAGGATAGGCTATAGGTGGAATAAGATGCAAGTCCCTCATCAGCGTTATAATCACACACAGTGTGATCAACCATCATGAAGCAGCATCTTTGAAAACAAAGGACATACGTATCAAACTAGGAACTCAGCTGGGCCTAACCCTTAGACTGAACTTGTAGAAAATGGGCCCGTCTGATGCTCCAAAAATTGTCCTTGCTGCTTTGGGTTGCTCACTTCCTGTTGAAACTGGGATGATTTTTCTTGCCCCTTGGTCTTCTCTAGGCATCTCCAAGGCAGTGATGGCTCTCCAGCGGACGCAGGTCTTTCTTCTGTTCTTGTTGCTGACCCTGCTGGGGCTGGGGCTGGTACAGCCCTCCTATGGCCAGGATCGCATGTACCAACGATTCCTGCGGCAACACGTGGACTCTGATGAGACAGGAGGCAATGACGGCTACTGCAACTTGATGGTGCAAAGACAGAAGATGACTTCACATCAGTGCAAGCGCTTCAACACTTTCATTCATGAAGATCTTTGGAACATCCGCAGTATCTGCAGCACCACCAACATTCAGTGCACGAATGGCTGGATGAACTGCCACGAGGGTGTGGTGAGGGTCACAGACTGCAGGGAGACCGGGAGCTCCAGGGCTCCCAACTGCAGGTACCGGGCCAAGGCCAGCACCACAAGTCAGCATTTGAGGTTTGACTCCTTTGCTCCAGGCTATTCTCAGAGTAAACCCAAGTGTTCCAGATGAAAAGATGCAGGACTGGTTCTCTCAGTAAGGCCATCTAATCCCCTCCCCCCAACTACTGCCAATCAGCTGGAGCACTGTACTTCCCACTGACTGTTATTCCTTCCATCTTTCCTTCACTGCTGCACTTCTTGGCTCTAAGGAAAAGGGAAAGACACACACACTCTGCTCTGCACATCCATAAACTGATCCCCACTACGACCAGTGACAGGAGTGTTGGATCTAAATAGGGTGAGTTATGGTTAGAAGGGCTGGTGCTGAGGATGTTTAGAGGGAAAGGCCCAGGAATGCTGGAAGAGGAAATTAAGATGGTGGGATTAAGAATAGACAGTGACCCAACGTGTGAGAACTAATGACCTGGATTCAATCTTGCTGATAGTTTTTATAGCCTCTCCCCACTCTTCCTAAGTGTAATATCACCATTCCTTGGTATCCATGGGGTATTGGGCCAGGATCCTCCATGCCCAGGATACCAAAATGCAAGCATGCTCAAGTACCTTGTATAAAATGGCACAGTGTTTGCATCTAAACTATATACTTATCTCTATATCACTTTTAATACCTAAACAAGATAAACTTTATGTAAATAGCTGTAGATGCAATGTAAGTGCTATGGAAATAATTGACAGCACAAAGCAAATTCAAGTGTTACTTTTTAGAACTTTCTGGGGGAAAAAATTTTTTTTGGAGTATTTTTAATCCATATCTGTGGTTGGTGGAATCCCTGGGTGCAGAGAAGGTGGATTCAGAGGGTTAACTGTACACTGAAGTACCTTGAATCCTGGTCTTCTCATCTTGTTTAGGCCTTTTGAGCCAGGGATAGGGTATCACAAAAGAGAAGGTACCTACCCCTTGTGCTATATTTGGCACAGTACTTGACATTCTCAGAAATGCTGTCAATAAATGTATCTCATTAGACTCTCACAGGTCTGAGGGATGGATTATTAGGCCTGTTTTGAGGCATCATGCTCAGAGAGTTGAGAATTAGGATAGAGGTTCCACACCATCAGGCATACTCCTCATGGTAAATGAGAACAGGGAGCTAGTTTAAAGGGGAGACTTTTTCAAGCAACTCTCTGCCCTAATTTGAATAAAATAGTTCTTGTGAAGGCAGCTTCAATCTTGATATTTGAATGATTAAAACAATATTTCAAAACTGGAGCTCCTTATAACATTCTTAATGACAAATCAAGATCAATTATAATGACAATAATTAGGGAAATGTCTTCTGAGCAGGGGTGTGTGTAGTCAGAAGTGAAAACATGTTTCGCAGGCTTTGGGGAAGTGTCATAAAGAAGACAAGATTCTGGAAAGCACCATCTTGCAGAATCAGTATAGTTGCAGCCTAGGATTTCGGGGAATCAAAGCTTCCTGCTTGGAAAATATTCTTCAAGTCTCTATTCATATTCTGCATCCCCTTTAAAGGGACGTGTGTGCTAAATTGCTTCAGTCATGTCCAAGTCTCTGTGACCCCATGGACTGTAGCCCACCAGGCTCTTCTGTCCAGGATTCTCCAGACAAGAATTCTGGAGTGGGTTGCCGTGCCCTCCTGCAGGGGATCTTCCTGACCCAGGAATCAAATCTTGGTTTCCTGTGTCTCCTGCACTGAAGGTAGATTCTTAACCACTGAGCCACCAAGGAAGCCCCTTTAGAGGGACAACCCTTTGCAACTCACAGACATAATGCTTAAAATCCCATTTTCTTTAAGAAACACACTCTTTTGAGAATTGATGTGAATGCAAAACAGCTAGCTAGAGCGAGACTGATTTCTCAGTTCAGATGGAAGATAGGGCAGACAGGAGGTATTTGGAAATGCCAAAATAAACATCAATTTTTCACAATGTTGCTCTTGTCTCAGACAGGCTATAGCATATTTTCATTTCTTATAAACTTTATTATCTCATGAGACTTATCTTCCAGCCTGGAAACCAAACAGTAAAATTGGGTCCAAGTGCCTACAGTGGCAGAGAGAGGAATTTTAAGGTGGAGCTCAGCTCCCAGGGCAGTGCTGAGACAATGCTGTCCTCTCTCTTCCCCGTGCATCCGCAGGTGGTCCTGCTGACTGAAATGGCGTCCACTCTAAAGGTCCTAGGCTCTCTGTGGGCTCTGCTGTTCACTTTATCCGGGCTCCTTGTACACGGCCAGAACCTTTCCTGGAGGGAATTTATGAAACAGCACCACCTAAGCACAAACTGGGCATTCAGCAAGTACCAATGCAACGATCTGATGAGGGAAAGAGGCATTCCCAAAGACAAGAACTATCACGTCTTCATCTATACCTTATGGCACAAAATTGAGCGTATATGCCTGCGGAACTGGAGAGACCGCTACAGAAATGTATATATATGGGCCCCAGATCCCTTCAAGACACTCAAGTGCATCCGGAAGAACAGCAAAAGCAGTTACAAAGATTACAAGAGCTACAGCTACATTGAATTCCATTGCAGCATGAATGGGTTTGTTGATGTTGTAGAGGACATGCGGTTATTAGAGGATATCGGCAACTAGAAAGTCCAACCAGACCCACAGCTTTCAGTGTTCAGTGCTTCCAAGTGGTGGCCCCACCTACATCAAGAGCCCTTACATTTATGGGCCAATATTTCCAACTACTTAGAGTTGTTTCACATGGTTTCTTGCTCTCACAACTTCGCCTGTGTTGTCTCTCTGCCTGAAATACCCTTCTGCTCTCATTTATCTGATTTCCTTCTATATGTTTGTTTGCTTGTTTGTTTTTAAAGATTCAGCACATATGGCATCTTTCTGACTAATCTGGGAAATTTTCCGATATTGATTCTCCTTATACTTTTGCAAGCTGAATGATCTTTCCATCCCTAAATAAATTATATCATTTCAATGTGTGTGAAATTTATTTATGTGTGCAGAGTATGTATTGTGTGATTAGTACAGGTATTCTAAGGGTGTGTTATATGGCTTTTGCTTGAATGTGATTTGTGCTTTATGTAGGTGCATATTATATGTGTGTGTCTAAAGCATATACTAGTTTTTCTTGTGTGTGTGATGAAACTATAATTGTTTATGTGCTAAGCATTGTTGGTGGGGACATGCTGAGATCCACCCAGACTGGTTGATGTGACCAGAACTGCTTAGGTGTAAAATATGTAACATGTTCCTGACACATGGCAGTTGCTCAGCCATCACTGTTTTCTTCCTTCCTCATCCTTTGACTTGATATCTTAACTTTGACAAAATAAACATGACAAATGCCTACCAATCATCTCTCTTCCTGGCTTTTGTTAAGAATATCTCTAAGGAGGCTATTGCATTTCAGATGAGTTAAATTGTTACATCTCCTGATGAATAGTACATTAAGTAGATGATATGAGCAAAATGAGTTTATCTGATAAACAACCATTTCACATGGCAGAGATATAGGGTAGGGTTTTGTTGTTGTTTAGTACTTAAGTCTTATCTGGCTCTTTTGAGACTCCAAGGACTGTAACCCATCAGCCTCCTCTGTCCATGGGATTTCCCAAGCAAGAATACTGAAGTGGGTTGCCATTTCCTTCTCCAGAGGTTCTTCCTAGCCCAGGGATCAAAGCTGCATCTCCTGAATCCACACTGGCAGGACGATTCTTTACCACTGAGTCACCAAGGAAGCTCCAGGGTAGGCAAAGAGGACTTTAAAAGTGGGGCTTAAGACTGACATTTTGTTGGAGGAAAGAAGAAGTAGATTGGAGAAGGAAATGTTAAAGACACAAGTAAATAGGGTTCACCGAAGTTGTTTGCTAAATTGAGGATAGAGAAACAGAGTAAGAAATGTTCATGTCATATAATTTTGCCTGGGGCAGGTATTTGAAGGAGACATACTGAACATTAAAGGACCTTGTGTTCTTCAATTTCCTGCATCACTGAGTGACTCAAGCCCTGAAACTAATAGGGACGGAGTAATGGGACAAAGTAGATGATTAAACGGTTAATTCCACCAGAGGATTGTAAGTAAAGAAAAAAGTATGGGAGATCCCTGTAAATTAATGATTACTCAAGAAAGCAGGTTTGCTTAACCACAAAACGGAACAGACTTGCTTAGAAACAAAATCCACACAGCAGAGGCATGAAACATGTTCCCAAACAGTAAAACAATGGTGGCATGAGACCAAGTATTCTTGCCTGGAGAGTCCCATAGACAGAGGACCCTGGCTGGCTATAGCCCAGGGAGTCTCAAGAGTTGGACACTTCTGAAGCAACTTAGTATGCACCCACGCTGATTCTGAATAAACCTATCTTTTCTGGAGAAATATCTGGCAGTCTATTTGTTTCAGGGCAACATAGTACAATAGCCTTGTGTTGTTGCTTAGACTTTCCCATATCCGCTTCCCCTATTTGGATAGATGCATATTCATTTACAGTGGATGATGACTGCAATCATGAAATGAAAAGATGCTCACTCCTTGAAAGGAAAGTTATGATATAACCTAGACAATTAAAAAGCAGAGACACCACTTTGTCAGCAAAGGTTCATATAGTCAAAGTTATGGTTTTTCCAGTAGTCATGTACAAATGTGAGAGTTGGATCATAAAGAAGGCACCCAGCTTTTGAATTGTGGTGCTGGCAAAGATTCTCGAGAGTCTCTTGGACAGTAAGGAGATCAAACCAGTCAATCCTAAAGGAAATCATCCTGAATATTCATTGGAAGAACTGTTGCTGAAGCTGAAGCTCCAATGCTTTGACCACCTAATGCGAAGAGCCAACTCATTGGAAAAGACCCTAATGCTGGGAAGATCTAAGGCAAAAGGAGAAATGGGCAGCAGAGAATGAGTTGGTTAGATAGCGTCACCAACTCAATGGACATGAATATGAGCAAACTCCAAAAGATAGTTGAGGTCATAGGAGCCTGGGGTCCTACAGTCCATTGGGTCACAAAGAGTCAGACATGACTTAGCGGCTCAACAACAACAATATTCATTTCCCTTAGGGAACTATCCTTCTTAATTTTGTATGTGTATTGGTGGGGCTGTCCATTAAGGTTCCTGAACTCCTCTACTGAGTCAAACCATAGTAATAGGATCCAAGGTAGGCTAGCTATACTCTCTTTTATAGGAAACCAAAATGTACCTCTTTGACACAGGAGTATTTTGAGAAGTAGCAGATAAAGGAGAAGCTTTGAAATAGAGTATAGATTACCCTATAGAAGGGAAATTGACAATTACAATGGAAATCTCCATTTGTAAGGATGCCTCCCTCTCTTTCCAGGAAGGAAAAAATGACTCTAATCTTAAGACACACTTGTCAGCTAAAATCTGCATAACAAAACTTACCCTTGTTTACTGTACCTTTCCTGGTCACCTCCCCATAATTTGCTGCCTCCACATTCTTCTTTCTTTGTTTTAGCTGAAGAGAGAATGTAAGCCCAAATTCTAGCCACCTCATTGAGTTGCTTATCATTGAGCTTCTCATGTCTATGTGGGGTATTCACAGGAATAAACTTCTGTCCATTTTTCTCTTGTTAATCTATCTTTTGTTATAGAGACCCTGAGAACTGGGAAAGAAAAATGGAAAAGGTTTTGGTTTTTTTTTCCCCTATACTGTCCTCAGAGTATAAATCTCAAGTAGTGATGCAAGGATTTTTTTTTTTTTAAAGTGGATTCATGCCCATTTGGCACTGTTCAGCCTTTGATGCAAGGTTCTTGGGTTCCAGCTTTTTCAAAGACAAATTCTGCTGCTATATTTTATATTGTAATCTCTCCCAAATTCTTCCAATAGATCCCCACCCCATTCCCACGATTGAAACAACAGAGAAGGGGCTAGGACACAACCTCTGAAAGAATGACATAAGCCCTAGAGGATACGACATAAACTATTTAGTACCAACTAGGTCCATTATGGCAGAAGATTTGACTTCCAGTAGACTTTGAGCCTCATTATACACTCATTGTAATACTTTAGCATCCAAATACATACCAAAGGTGCCATGACAATTTCAAGACTAACCATATAGGATTTAAAAAAAAAAAAGCAGTGATCCAATTCCTGGAAATCTCCACCTCTTCTCTGAAATGGTTGGCATAATCCTCCCAATCCTTAGCCTATGAAATTACCTAGCTGATAGGTGGTTGGTAAAAAACCAACCACCCCATGTTTTGGGGCCTTTTGCCCTCTTCTGAGATGGCCCACACTTTCTGTGGAGTTTGCTTTTCCCTTCCAAGGCTGTTCTCACCTTTTGAGACAACCTTCTGTCTATGGAATGTGTATATCTCTAATTAAACCCACTTCTTATCTAGAAACGACCTTTCAGAAAAAGAACTGGATATACATAACACAGTGAAATTGACATCTGGTCCTGAGAACTCACTTTTCCATAACATTGCTTTAGAAACGGTGCAAGGGATCTTTATCTCTCCTACCCATGAAGAGGTGGCACAGCTGAGCGGCTCTATCCACCCTCAACTGATAAAGAATTTCCATCAGTGTTGTCTCGCCATTCGTGCAGGCTGAAGAGAAAAAGAAAGCACTAAATGGTAAAGATCATTCAGGTTCAACAAATTCAGCGTCTTCTCTGAATCCTGTGAAAGAACATGGTGTATTGTTTGAATGCTCACCTGAAAACTGGACTGATCAGAGGAAAACACCACCAGTTATGGCTTACTGCATAGTAGGGAGAATCTTTCTTCATCCCAAGCTTCAAGAACTTTATGTCTGTTTTCATGACTCAGTTACAGAAATTGCCATTGAAATGGCTTTTAAGTTGTTCTTTGGATTAACCTTGTAGCTGTATTTTCTTGATGCATAGCAACACTGTGCACAGACCATCAAGTAGGGTTAGAACTGCTGAAATCTATTCACAAAGAGATGAGGTTTAACTTCTTTTCACTAATCAATACTGAACACAAGGCTGATGAAGACTGAGATGATATGCTGCTGAACTTGATGCACTAAATCTTATTCTGAGACTTTTGAAGAAAATACTTGATCAAAATATGAAGAAGAGATTGTTAACTTATTTTCCATCTAGGTATATAACATTAATTTATTTACTGATTTGAAATAATGTGATGTATTTTGTGTAAAATTAATATAAGAATATTTATCTTGGGAAAATACCCAATTTTTTGTGTATTTTTCTCAAGACTAATATTGATATCTGGCAAAACAATCATGAAATTGGGACGAGATGACCAGGTTCTGTTACTAATTAGTGTTGTGACCATGAGCAAGTTTTTGTACCTCTCTGAGCTCAGATTTCTCATATACAAAGGAAATGATTGTTTTGAGGTGTCTAAAGATCCTCTTAAGTAAAATGTGCAATTTTTTCCCTCTAATCTATTGTTCGGTACCTAAATTTGTAATGTTGAGTACTGATTCCTTCTTAGATCAGATACTTTTCTTTTAGGTGTTTTAGTAGATACTTCAGTGTGGGGGACGAGAGGAGTGAAAATTAAACTTAATTTTTTATTTATTTGATTTTCTTTACTCATTCAGGTCAGTTCTATTTTGAATAGGATATATATTTTTAAACTATTTGTTCATATACTTTCATTGTTTTTCTCTTTTTTGAAATATATTCAGGTATACACACATTTTATACAAGTTCATGAATTTTAGGAAAGTTGTATGTAAATCTTTTTTAAAAACCCAATCATGTTGAAAACACTGAAAAAGTTAACTAAAGAAATTCTATGGTGACTTCCAATCAATACAAAGTTTTGCCTTACAAATCCAAATCTGGATGCATTAGGTTTTCCCAAAGGGGTACCCCTAATGAACAATAATTTATTTGACCTTGAGTAGAGAAAGAAAAGTACTAAGATCAGAATTTTCTTTAGCTGTCAGAATTTGGCAGATTGAAAGGAAGGAAGAAGATGA